TCATCCTCCTCCCCTCCCGCGTGACGTCAACCCCCTCACCCTGTGACGTCACCCACTGTGACGTCATCCCCTCCTCCTCCCCCGTGAGTCAGCTCCCTCGCCTAGTGACGTCATCCCCTCCCCTCTCCGCGGACCCCCCCGCGCCGCGGGGATCCCCCCTTGTCCCTCACCCCCCCTCGGAGGACCAGGGTTAGAATCGGTGCTATCACTCTACTGAGAGCCATTCACAACGTTTGGAATTGATACAGAGAGAGAGGGGGGGAGGGAGGGAGGGGGAGAGAGAGAGAGCAGTTATTGCGACGAGAGAGAGAGAGAGCGCGAATTAACGCGAAGTGCCTCGAGATCGAGTGGTGTCTCTTCGATGACTGGTGGCGTCCGCAGTATTAAAGATCTTCTGCCAGAGTTCGACGCGAACGAAAACGTTTTGGAGATGGAAGAATCAACTAGAATTACTGAGGAATTCGTATCAGCTGGATGACAGCTTTACCAGAGTTCTGTTGAGCTCAAGATTGAAGGGGCGGGCACTCACATGGTTCTACTCGAAAGTGGAATGTTTGACACTGAATATCGAGGATTTATTAAGAGAACAGATGTTTGATCTGCGACCCGGGAAATTGTCACTTCGAAAGGAATTTGAAGCCCGTGTATGAGAGACGGACGAATAATTTTGTGAATATTATCATGAGAAAGTCATTCTTGCGAACCGAGTGCCTATTGCAGAAGACGAGCTCCTTGACTATCTTGTAGAGGGTATCACCGATATGCGCTTATAGAACCAGGCGCGCATTATGAACTTCCAGTCAAGGGTAGAGTTGCTAAAATCTTTTGAGAAAATTAGTCCCCAAACAAGGAAATACAACGATCATAAACAGAAGAAAGAGGTCACGAAATTATTCGGTGCGAAGAGGCACCATTGGCAGGAAGTAAAATAGTGAAATGTAATAAGTGTAACGAAGCGGGACACATTTTTAAGGGCGGTATTCATAGTCCAAGCTCAAGATAGTACTTAAGATCAACTTGATCAAGACCGTCTTATTGTATGAAGACTGTCTTAAGTATTATATGATTCACAGATATGACTTAAGATAAACTTATCGAAGAACTTCTCGCCTAAGAAATTCTTATTCTATTTGAGACTTTCTTCTCCAAGATGTTTAAGATCCAACATGTTTAAGATCATACTTATTGACCATTCAGCTATTTCCGTATACTTCTGTTAGAACCAACCAATAAGAAGCGGTATTGTCAGCAGCACCATTGCTGCAAACACAGACTCACGCGCGCGTTCGGTACTATACCTCTAATCAAAAGAATAATTCGTAAAGAATATCGATTTAAAAAAATATTAACATGCAAAGTTGTGAAAGTACGAAAATATCAAAATCAAAACATTATAGCGCAATCGAGAAAAAAATCTTTTTGGAAATATTAAAAGATTTCAAGCACGTTATAGAGGTTAAGAAAAGTGATAGCTCAACACTTCGTGATAAAGAAGTTGCATGGTCGGAAATTTGTAAACGATACAATGACTGTACAGTGATTTTGCAAGAGGTGAAGATCAAAAGATTGTTTTATATTACATGAATTTATTTAATATGGATATATATATATATGTATATACAGGGTGGGGAAAAAGTACCGGGACACCTGAATATCATAGAAAATATATGTATTACAGAAAAGTGTTTCAGACAAAAGTTGTAGGGTTCCAAAAGATCTATTTACTTATCATATCCGTTTGACTTTGCGTAGCGTCTTCAAGGTCAGGTCAAGGTTAGATCAATTTTTTAAAATGGAACACCTTATTTTTCATTGCATATTCTTATAGCACATCTCGAGAGCTTTCCAAAACACTATAACAAAATATTTTTTCATGAAATACTTTTGGATCAAGGTCATTGGAGGTTGTACCTCTTATTTCCATTTTTATGTAAAAATGAATTTTTAGTGCAAAAATGAAAATGAAAGGGATAATCTCCAATGGCCTTGATCTTGACAAATGTTATCCAGGACATGATCTTAAACAGCATTCAAGAGGTTTTAGCCGTCTGTCGGACAATTTGCGTAATGCTAATGTCAACTGTACTGTAACTTTCGAGTCATAACTCCAAAAGTATTTCATGAAAAAATATTTTATTATAGTGTTTTGGAAAGCTCTCGAGATGTGCTATAAGAATATGTAATGAAAAATAAGGTGTTCCATTTTAAAAAATTGATCTGATCTTGACCTGACCTTGAAGACGCCACGCAAAGTCAAACGGATATGATCACTAAATAGATCTTTTGGAATCCTACAACTTTTGTCTGAAACACTTTTCTGTAATACTTATATTTTTTATGATATTCAGGTGTCCCAGTACTTTTTCCCCATCCTGTATATGTGTAAAGTACACATATAGAAATAGATTAAATACCGATGAGAACAAGCCATTTACGGTCAAGCTGGATCTTGGAGGCTTCTAATTTATAATTTCGTGTGAATTTATATACTACGTATGTAATTCTTAATTGCGCGCCGAAATTTTTCAGACTTACAACGCAAACTCTAATAAACTACCGCAATACTATCACGAGTTAAATTGATTAACAATGTAACAATTTTGATGCTCACAGCATCTTTAATTTTTGATAATGTCGAATGATATATTAAAATTTATGAATAACTTATTAACAATCTGTAAATAATATTTACAGATTGTTAATAAGTTATTGAGGCAGATTTTAATATGATGTTTTAAATCATTTAACATTATTAAGATCAATTATTAATCAATTTAACTTGTGATAGTACTGCGGTAGCTTATTAGAGTTTGCGTTGTGAGTCTGAAAAATTTCGGCGCGCAATTAAGAATTACATACGTAGTATATAAATTCACACGAAATTATAAATTAGAAGCATCCAAGATCCAACTTGACCGTAAATGGCTTGTTCTCATTGGTATTTAATTTAAACTCACGGTCCAATAAGATTTGATATTGAAATAGGTTGTTTCACATGTTTTATTTTTACATAACGTACAGTACAACAACTAAAAAAACTGTGGGCAAATTTGAAACAAAGTCAACGAAAAGTACTGACAAAAGAGAAACAGGCTCGTCTAGATACTGGTGGCGACCCACCTCTTGCAGAGATAAATATTGACCCTGATATAGCTCTAATAACACCGCATCTTATGGAAACAGCTTCTGTTCTGTTTTCATCAAACATGTCAGAAAATGAAGTTAATGGTAAAAACTCTTCTATTTGATTAATATGTTTGTATAATATTCAGAAACTTCTTGATATAATTGTAAATAATGTCATGCATATATTATATGAATGTGTATATACCATGTATTATATATACGTGTATATACCATGTATGTGGTATACACATTGATATAATACATGCATGACATTATGGCCATAATATACATATATATATTATGGCCCATATTTTGAATCCTCTTTTATCGATAAAAGCACTTTCATCGAAAGAGGATTCAGAATATGGGCCTTATACTTTTATTATTATTTTAGAAAACGAAGAACATGTTATGAATGCTTTACAAGATGGTAATATAATCATGTTATTCAAAAATAATAATGGAAAATTAATGACTAAGAATGCTGAAATAGATGAAGGTATGTCAAATTAATTATGTTAATATAAACAATGTTATTTTAATTAACCTTAATGTCATTTATTAAGATTATATTCAATTATATATATATATCAAATATATGTAAAATATTGAACGTTTATAGAAACTGCATGTTTATAAAAACAATTATCAAATAATTGAGTTTGGATATTGTTGATTTTCAGGTGATGTAACTGTAGATACAAACAAGGAAAATCAAAACACCCATGAATGTAATATTAATTACGCAATGTTAATTACGTATTTCCATACTATTTTTTACTGATTAATTAACTAAATTGTGTTTATAGGGCTTCCTATGAAAAGAAAAGGAAATTGGGATACTGATGGTTTAAGAGCACTAAAAAACATATGAAAGAAAAAAAGAACTATACACACTTTGGTTAGTGAAGACGATATAAAGATGGAAAGAATTAAGCACATAATGGAACAAGAAAAAGAAATAGCTGATATGCGAAAAGTTCACGAAAAAAAATTGAATACAATGAAAGAAGAGTTTCATACTGAATTATATTCTTTAGAAATTCGAACCGCTCCACAGTTCCGGGACAGAATCCCGGAAAACTGGCAAAAAGTCGATTTTGGAATTTCAGTAAAATATGTATGTCATTGTCATCTCAATGCATCAAAGTAGGTCGAATTTAAATTTTATAATATTTAGCTTTTAATTTGGCAGAGCTTTGAATATAAGCATAAACCTAAACCGGATGAACAACATACATATGTTATAAATGCTATAAATTTCAAAATCCATAACTTATATCTTAAATTTTATTATTTATTGTTTTTTTGGTATATATTTATAAATGTTATAAATTATTAATAATCATTTAATATTGCATAAATAAAGTTCTGTATCGATTGATTTGAATATTTTTACATTTTTGCAAGTCAAAACTTGCTATCGATTGGTTATAATTAGAGATACCGCTTCCTAATGAAATCTGCTTTACACCGATACATTCTCATATCATATCCCTTCAAAAAAAACCTGCCACTTTTTGTCACTTTGGCTTCGGCGAAATAGCCTATTCGATCGCAGCACGCGCCGCGCACGTGACATAGTGTCGAGCGTACGCAAACGAGGGAGATGTTTATTTTCGTAAGCGCATCTTATTAAACGCAGATTTTGAATTAGCTGGATTTACTTTCGAATATTTTGTTTTTCACATTTAATAATCAGCTATGTCAACCATATTATTTACCAAACGAGAAATTATTGAACAATTTTTCGTGAAATCTGGTATTGATGATAGAATTTCAGCAGTTGTAAATTACGTTTTGTCTAAGCTAGGAATGCATATTTCTAATATTAAGAATAATGAACTGCGGCAATTGAGAACATATGTATCTGCACTCTATAGCAAGCATAAGGAGAAATGGAATGGCGTGAAGAGAACAAAGATAAAGTATGAGTCAAAACATAAGAAATGGCTGGATTTATTTTTACTATTCCTAACATTTCAATGAAAAATGTTGTTTCTGATTCTGCCACAGTTGCTGGTCGGCCATCTATTTCATTTCACGGGAAGTCCGATCGATCAAAAAGATTAGAAGTGGCAGCTATTAGTAAAAAATATAACAACGATCCACTGAAACTATTAATGGCATATTGGATCCACCATTCTGAATTTTAAAATTGTAGTATTATATTCGAAACCAGCGACCCCAAAAACCTCCGAATACCGAGTTTCATCCAAATCAAGTTACTTTTCGCATTTTGGTCCGCCATATTGAATCAGCCATTTTAAATTTCGAAATTTTTACATCAGAAATGAAATCAGCGATGCCGAAAACCTTATATAAATGTATCGATGTTGGATATTTTCACATATTTTACGAGATATTAATTTTTGCCAGTTTTTCGGGATTCTGTCCCACTGTGCGCTCGTGCAAAAGCCGAGCTTGCAGAGTTACAATTGCAGAAAGAGAAAGAAAATATGAAAGCGTAGTACTAAAAGTTTTTTAATAGCAAAGACTTATTAACCAAAGACAGTAAAAAGTATTTTATTTTTGTAAAAAAAAAACAATGAGATTAATAATTATGAGTATTATATATTTTATTTTTATTTTATTACTTAATTTTCTTGTACTTCATTTCTCTAATTACACAAAGAAGTACACTTCAAAGTAGATGTTGTATTAACTTATTTCATAATATGATATATGACATAAAAATGTTAAAAGTTAAAATCTTTTAATATTTACAATTTATTGGTATTAATAAATATTAACATGAAAATTAAATGAATACGCAATTAGAAAAAGTCGAACAATTTATATTGTTTTTATAATGTTAAAAGTTTATTTGTGTTTTTTTGTATTACATAGATATTAAAATTTAATAAACTGTATTAAAAAGGTATCAAAGATATTAAATAAAGATTATTTTGATTAATTGTGTTTTCTTTATATATAACATTATTTTCGTTTATTTGGAGACACGATAGTGTCTCGACGTTAAGATATATCTTACAGTATACATATAATCTTACAATATATATATTGTATATCTTGTATTATCTATGTATCTATCTTACCTATGTATCTACCTTAAATCTACGTTTTATCAAATATTGAGTTCTACATATAACAGACATATATATAATAATTTATCTATATAGTCTTTTAATAAGCGCTGCTCTTATCGCAAAACCTTCACTCGGTTGCCAATGTGGTTCATTTTCTGGTACATATATTTCGTCATATTGTTCTACTTCTTCTTCTTCTTCCAAAATATCATTAAACGTTAATGACAAATTATGTAATACAGCACAAGCAACTACAATTGTAGTTGAACAAATCAATTTGTTGCTTAATCCTCTTGATAGACATGGAAATCTACGCTTCCAAATTCCAAACGTTCTTTCAACAACTTGACGTGTTCTTCTATGAAGTGCGTTGTAACTGTAATAAAAAATATATTTTAATTACTAAATTTGTAAACACTAAATCACAGCTGTATTTTTAGAATAATATTTTAAAAATTAAATAAAAAGGTATGAAACGGGCTGCGAACCAAATGATATTCAAACGAAAAATAACATAAAAATCGACACTATGATAATCAATACTACATAATAAACAATATAATTAAGTCTCCTTATGATCCCATCAAGGTTCGAAACGCTTAATTATATTGTTTATTATTGTGAGTATTGATTATCATATTGTTAATTTTTATGTTATTTTTTGTTTGAATATTAAAGATCGTTTGGCTCATACTCCGTTTATTATTTTATTTAATTTTATCATTTGAGCCAGAATATTAATTTATAATTTATTTTTAAAACACTTGAGAGTATAATTTTTAACAATATTTGTATTAGCAATTAAAATTTTGAAATAAATTAAAGATATAATATTAACGCAATTTCCTCGTCTGTTTGTGGATTTTGAATTGGAGTTAAAAGAAATGGTAGACAGCATCTCCTACGAGAGTTCCTGTTAATTGTCGTCGAACGTATTGCATGTATATCCTAGAGTTTTGGAAAATTCGACTGTCATGTTGGCCACCCGGCCATTCTGGAACAATATCCAGAAATTCTGTTCTAGGGTCTACAACAGCCTGTATACGAGAAAAGGTAAAATGACTAAATATTAATATTTATAGTAAAATATGTATATAATGTAAATATAATATAATAACATTATATTTTACATTAATAATATTTTATTAACGTCAATTATATAATATATGACCAATAACTGTTTTTTTTATTTATGGCATACAATAACTCTATTTAAATCTTTATATACATACCTGTACATTTAATGAAAAATATCCTTTTCGATTTCTATAAATTTCTTCTATGTTATGGAATCTTGTACCAGTTAAGCGTATATGCGTGTAATCAGTTGCTCCTTCAATACTAGGTAAACCAATACCTCTATTACCACATCCGATATCTTTAAAAAGTCTTTGATTCTTTCGTATGGCATCTGACGAAGAAGGCATTTTTACAAATCGTTTTAAAAGTTTTGCTAAAAGTAGAGATACTCGAAAAACTGTTCTTGAGACAATTGGCTGTGAGACGATTATGGTATCTCCAAGTACTTGCTATAAAAATTAAAAACGGAGAAATGTAGGGCATCTACCACAACGCACGATCTTTTTTGCGAAATTTGTCTTTATAAATATAATAAAATTTACATATATAAGAATATAAATCAATAGACGTTTCGGCCTTAAATTAGGCCATCCTCAGTATAACATACAGAATATAAAATTTACATAATCATGTTCAGAGACAAAATATTAAAATATTCATTATTGAAGTAAGCCTTGTATATTTTCCGTTTGTTGTCATGCGCATGCGTGGTGCCGTGGGACTTACTGTCTGCCGGTTTGTGTACCGTGTTATAGTTAGTTGCTTTCGAACCTAGCATAGAGACGCTACGGTTAATAAAGGATAGTTAAAATAATTGCTGTCTTCGTTATTGGTTAAATGCCCTTTCTCACTAATATTCTGAATCTCTGTGTGAAGAGCTGATTGCCTTACGCTAACATACATATTGTACAAAAACATATGATTACAATACAAAAACACGTCCGCTCGTTATGTTTCGTTCTATTTGATTTTTTTTCCGTACATTTTAACATGCATTTCGATTTTCCTATGCTTCTGTCCATTAAAATTCATTTGTATAAAGAGTTGAATGAGCCAAAAATTGAACTATATTGATAATATAATATTGTAATATAGATGTATAAAACAAACATTCTTTGAAATATAATTAAAGATGCTTTTTTAATATATTTTTACTTTATATATTTTATTATTTGAATGACATACTTGAAAACTTCCTGTTGCGAATCGTAGACAAATTAACAATTGACACAATGGAAGAATAGGAAGACCACGGTTATTATTACATGCAAGTTAATTTTCTATTAGAGGTAGAATTCCATATAGAACAGAATCTTTAAATCGGAAACGTCTTTTGAATTCTCGATCGTTATAAATTTCAAACGGATTGGTCCAGTCTCTTATGTATCTTTTTGGAACTCGCACATAACCTTCATCATCACTTATAGAATCATCATCAACTTCTTCTAAATCAATATTTCTTATATCTTCTATTTCCATTTTAAATAGAAATATAACTTTTCTCATCAACATTTGAAATAACAAGGTGTGTCACATTAAAAACTTTAAACTGAGTACCGCGTGTGTGCGTGGTAAATCAGACAAGATTAACTTAAGTCTACTTTTAACTCGACTTAGATTTTTCCTTACTAGAGAAATGCTTAAGATCATCTTAGATGACTGTGAATTCGACAGTAATAAGACTATCTTAAGATCATACTTATGTAAAATAAGATATATTCATGAATCTTATTGAAACACTTAA